TTTCCCACTTGTGATGAATGCAGCTATTGATTTTTTTTTTGCATGCTAGTATGCTAGTTAACATTCGTGTCAGTCAGCTGTTGGCTCTCACTCTGGCCAGTAGAAAATGGCCACGAACTACATGAAAAGTGCTATAGAAGCATGAAAAAATTGATTATTTTCACTATCAATGGGAGTTGATCTGGGTAAACTGCAAAGTATAAACCTAATGTTTTCTCATTTTTACAGTGCTCATATTGCAATTTTTTTGCTGTTATCATTGCATGTCTTTACCAGAGTTCATATTGCAATTTGTTATGTGCAAAATCTCCTGGAGCCCCAAGCATAGAAAAAATACAATATGGGAACCAGTAATAAGGAGTGCCAGAGAAAAGCAATGATAACAAAGTTGCATATGAACTCTGCAAAGACATCAATGATAACAGCAAAAAATTGCAATATGAGCCTGTCTTTTTATAAATATATAAATAACCACCTAAAAGGCGGATATGCCAAAAACGTTGTATTACAAACATGGCACAAAGATGACACAATAGTCACACACAAATGTTTTAATACCTTCTCAGAAATGTGACAATAAAATTGAGGGGCAGTGTGCAAAACAACGATGACCCACCCGGTGCCGTACTAACTTGGTCCTGTTGATACATATAGATATCGCTATCAAAGAAGGTTTGTATATATAATAAGCCACATATATCTTCAAGAATGCTTTGATCATTTTTAGAAATTCATTTTAAACTTTAAGAATTATTATTACAAAAAAATAAGGATAATATAGTTGAACATGAAGTGCTCAATGGTTGAGGATGTTGTAGACATGCTGGAACGTGTCATCATTTTGGTTTCAAAAAGTCTTGCCTTGTAAAAATCTAATCACATTTTGAAACTGAATTGAAAAACTCTCAATTCAACAGCTTTCAATTTTTATTTTAGCATAAAACTAAATATGTATACATGAATGTTTTCCAAATTCTATAAATTAATTTTCATGAAACCAATTAAAAAGCATCAAGAAATAAATATCTTGTTATAATCCTGCTTGTCTCCAACTCCAGAACAACCGTTACACACTGCCAATACAAATGGACTATTCTGCTTTGATTGCATGGAAAGACGGAAAAGATGCTATCTGTTTTCACAGAGAAAATGAAAGAAGTCAGAATTGTTTAACAGCTGTCTCAGTGAAATGAAAAAATTCAATTTCAAATCTTTTCATTTCTATTCACTTCTTAAAATAATGACCAACATTCATATTTATGATTGTTATTGAAATATTTTGTTAAAGTTTTTAACTTCAACTATATGATTTGACCTTTCACTTGTACCCCCTTACTTCTTGAAATAATGACCATCATTTGTATTTATGATTGTTATTGCAATATTTTGTTAAAACTATATGTTTGACCTCTCACTTGTACCCCCTTCTTGAAATAACTCCAACATTCATATTTATGATTTGACCTCTCAACTTGTTTGACCTCCGTTACTTCTTCTTGAAATAACGACCAACATTCATATTTATGATTGTTATTGCAATATTTTGTTAAAGTTGTTAAGCTCAAATATTTGACAATGAATTTCTACAGATATTGTTATGGAACTCACCCTGTGCTAATTCAATCATTAACTGAAGAATTAAGATTCATAAAAAAATTCAAATAGGAAAACTGAAATTTTCACTGGTTTTTCTAATAATAATAATAATGAGCAAGACGCGTATAATTACATGGATTTACTAATAACTCTTTTAATACTGTACTCTAAACTTTTCAACTTGTGACCATTCCCAGATAACTGTAAAAAATGTGTTATAGTCTCTCTTAAAAATACTTAAATGTCATCAGTAGATCGTTAGGTCACAGAACATGATTTGACCCCTCACTCCAAGCAACTGCTTTTATCTAAACCGACCCCCATTCAAAGCTCTTACTGTGCTTCAATCTCTTCTGTCTCTTTACGTCCAACTCTCTTTCTGTTTATCTCTCAGGTTCTGTGTGTTATATAGGAATAAACTGTCACTGCTGACACTCGAGTTTGAACATAGATCACCAGAGAGCAAACACAAACGATCCTATTATTGAATTAAGTAGACCACGTGACCATAGAGTAAATACATAAGTAGGAAATCATGTGACGTCTAATTGATTGCCATTTCTAGTCTATCCTCTATTACTAATGGATCGTTATTTCTGCTCTATCCTCTATTACTATACAGACAGCTATTCTCTACTCTATACACTATACAATTTCTGTATTTGGATCATGATACGTATTACTATTTGAGTGAATATTATCGAGCAAGTACTGTTAGTGCAAGTCCTATTTGAAGGCGTCTGACACCAGCATTGTGCAACAGCATACTATAGTTGTATCTGCGATTACAAAGTCTCTACTACAATGAGCATTACGAAAGTGACAACGAGTATTCATTGGCATCACAAAAGTGGTAACAAGTGTTTGTTGACATCACAAAATTATGATACCAAGTGTGATATACACTATACTTAGGTACAATTGTATTAATATTGAGACCAACAGGATCTGTCTAAATTACACAGATTTACTATTAAAGTTTTTAATTCTTCTCTCTGTATTTCTCACCATTTTCAGACAATAAAACTGATATAGTCTCTTGTTGGGGGAAAGATTCCTTGGGCAACTGTCTGAATAAAAAAATGAGAGAAAAATTTGTTGCATGTTCAAATAAAATGATATTTAAATGTAGGATAAACAAATTTTAACTGTAATTACTTATCATGAAATGAAAGTTAGAAAGTTTGACTGTAAGGAAATGAACATGAATAGTCTTTCAGCGAGGAAGAGAGAAAGTGTATTTATGAAACAAGATCAAAGGGTGTCCACTGTTGCTTTGGTGAGAAACATTGACTTATGTCTCTTTACTGTTGTCAGTCCTTCTGTCGAGTTGAATTAATGTTTGGTTTCTATGGTCTTGTGTAGCCTCCAGAGGCCTGTGTTTATTTACTAGTGGGAGCTGATTTGACAGGCTGTTTATTTTTATTGAATTGAAAATTTGAAGTATGTTTGAAACTTGGTAAGCTGCGCAAAGTCCTTGTGCAGTGCATTTAATTTTGTCATTTGCTCCTTTGATTTGATGTTGTTCACTTCTGCCAACTCTACACTCTCTCAAAAATACTGAAATATCTTCAACGGATTGGTGGGTCACAAAACATGTTTTTGACCGCTCACTACAAGCAACTGCCTTTATCTAAGATGACCCCCATCCAAAGCTCTTTCTATAATGCAAGGGATTACTGAGAGTGAACAAGAATGAGAAGACTTTAGTGAGAAGAAAGGACAATAAAAGAACAGGTTTCAGGAATACAGAAGATGGCAATAATGCCACTACGACACAAGAGGTTACTGGAAGTGAAAGAGAATGAGAAAACTTTAGTGAGGAGAAAGGACAATAAAAGAACAGGTTTCAGAAAGACAGAAGATGGTGATAATGCCACTAAGACACAAGAGGTTACTGAGAGTGAAAGAGAATGAGAAGATTTTAGTGAGAAGAAAGGACAATAAAAGAAGAGGTTTCAGGAAGACAGAAGATGGCAATAATGCCACTACGACACAAGAGGTTACTGGGAGTGAAAGAGAATGAGAAAACTTTAGTGAGGAGAAAGGACAATAAAAGAACAGGTTTCAGAAAGACAGAAGATGGTGATAATGCCACTAAGACACAAGAGGTTACTGAGAGTGAAAGAGAATGAGAAGATTTTAGTGAGAAGAAAGGACAATAAAAGAAGAGGTTTCAGGAAGACAGAAGATGGCAATAATGCCACTACGACACAAGAGGTTACTGGGAGTGAAAGAGAATGAGAAAACTTTAGTGAGGAGAAAGGACAATAAAAGAACAGGTTTCAGGAAGACAGAAGATGGTGATAATGCCACTAAGACACAAGAGGTTACTGAGAGTGAAAGAGAATGAGAAGATTTTAGTAAGGAGAAAGGACAATAAAAGAACAGGTTTCAGAAGATGGCGATTACATTTAAATTTTTAAAGATTGTAGGTGGCAGGGAGGCAAGAATCTAGAAGAGTGTTCCACGTGTGAAAAGTGTGAGAAAAGAAAATATTAGAATAGAACTTATAGTTACATCTTGCTATTCCAACAGTAAAATAATGAGATCTATTTGCCAATCAAGTAGTATGCTTAAATTTATGTAGCTTACCAAGGAACAATAGCCATGAAAATATTTATAGAAAAGACAGAGCTAAGTCATGTCACAGCAGTGGGAAAGTGACTGACTTCGAGATGCCAGGTCAAGACAAATAACATTGCAGACCCTTCTTTGGATTTTGCTGGGAATCTCAAGATATACATCTGGTGCACCAGAACAGATGTGGTAACAACATTTGATGCACAGATGAATTATAGATTTATAAATGTGCAAGGATTTGGATGAGAAAAATTGTCTGATAAAACATGGTGATCCAACTTTCTTATCTGCAGACCTAGCAGTTAATTCAATATAATCACTCCACTTCATGTCTGCAGAGAACTTAAGATTAAGATGGTGCAATGAATTGCTCTCCAGGAGGTTAGCATCAGCCATATTGATGGAGGGTAGAAATGGTTAGTTTTGTTTTGGAGCCATTTAAATTTACAAGCTATTTTTTGTCCCATTTTTGAGAACAGCTGACAATTTTATTTTCCCAGTCCTACTGAACTTATTATTAAGACAGGTATAAATAGCTGTGTCATCAGCATAGAGACCTTATTATTAGTGTTAAAGTTAAATATTATTAAATTTAATAACAAATTAGTAAATTTAAATATTATTAGTGTTAACGTTAAATATTATTAAATTTAATAACAAAATATTAAATTAAATATTATTAGTGTTAACGTTAAATATTATTAAATTTATTATTAAATTTAATAACAAATCATTAAATTCAAATATTATTAGTGTTAAATATTATTGTGTCATAATATGTTTCTATTTTATTTTTTTTGTTTGTTCTTTTTAATCTTTAGGATTGGGAGGAGCTTTTGCCCCCACAACCTTTGCAACCAGGTTACCAAACTTGCTGTCACAATTACTTCAAAGTTTCAAATCGAAATTCTTGGACCCATATACGTTTCTCGATATTCCCAGGTAAGAAAAGTTTTTTCTTTTAATTTGTTTTTTTTACTAATGTTCACACTATACAAGGTACAACGGCCACTCAAGGTAAATGATTGTAAAGTAGAAAGCGTTACTGAATTAGGAATAACCAAAATAGAGGTTGGAAATGAAATGGTAATCTTTATAACATCAACGAAATACAATACCTGTCAGTGGCGTGAAGTAGGTAAACCACTGTTAGTGGTGAACTACTTAGACAGCATATTACCCCATTTCCCCACTTACAATAGTGTCCAATATATTTATGAGGATTGGGACATACCCATTTGTGTTCATAGGTATGGTATATAACAGAAATCATTGGCAATGCATTTCCATTATACATATAATAGCCCTATTCTATCAGTAATGCTTGCATTCATTCCTGACTACTGACAATCTCTTTCATCCTCATTTGCAATGCATTCCTATAGTAAAATTGTTGTCACCTAGAAAATGTTACTGAATGAGGAGTAACCAAAACGGAGGTTGGAAAAAAAATGGTAATCTTTATAACATCCACAAAATACAATACTTGCCAGCGGCATGGAGTAAATAAACCACTGCTAGTGGTGGACTACTTAGCTTATTACCCCACTTACAATAGTGTCCAACATATTTATGAGGATTGCAACGTACTCATTAGTGTTCATTGGTATGTTATATAACAGTTACTGAAAGATGTTGTGTGAGCAATAAGAGGCACAGTTTATGAGGTTTATATATGTGTGAAAGATAGCAGTTGACCCTAGACTTGAAAAGGTTAAGATTGTAGTAGTTAGGAAAGTATCTTCCTGGGATTCTGTTCCACAAAGGAACAGCTCTTGGCAAGAAGCTGTCTGAATGGAACTTACTCCTTACTAAAGAAAGACAAAAGGAATAAGGGTGATGTATATGGTGTAGCAGCTCTTAGCTGGAGGGGATTAGAGTTAGAGGAACTAAGGAATGTAGCTCATCTGAACATTTCCCATGAAAATAGGGGTAGAGTAGCAAGAGGCTTGTAGCATTTTGTCTGTGAGGAAAGGGGTTGTAAAGTGGAAAAGAATTCATCAACCATCAATAATGGTAGAGTAGCCTCTTTGCTACTCTACCCCTATTTTCATGTAGAAAACAAGGTATTAAAAAAAGTTACAAAGCTCAATCTTTATGTCCGTTTTGGAAATGATATTTTTATTTTAGCTGAAAACGAAAAAGAAATTGTTAATCTCAAAACCACATTTGAAAAAAAAACTCTGCCCTTAACAATGAACTTAGTCAAAAAAATAAATTCCCATTCTTACATGTTCTTGTAGAATTCAGTAGTAACACATTCACTACTTTGTTGTACAAAAAAAAAACACTAGTAGAAACTCTTGTTAGCTTAATTTTATGAGTGAATGTTCACTTAGATATAAAATAGGCATTATAAAAAAATTTCCACAAGAGAACACAAGAATTCACACCCTCATCCCGTTTTCCTTAAAGAACTCAATAACGTGAGACAGACACTAGTTAATAACAGTTTTTCAAACTACCTCATTGATCACCAAATTAGGCTTTCTCTTTCTTAGGTAACCAATAGCAATGCTGAACATATAGATAAAAATACTGTAATTTCTCAAAAGTAATACACATTTTTTGACTGTAAATTACAGGTGATAGTAGGGGGTGCATATTATAAATAGGTTTAAACAAAAATTTTTTTTTTATTGATTTATAATAATAAATATGTACTTGCTGTTCTAAAATAAGTAATATGTTATCCTAGTTTTCATTTTAAATCTAACAATAACAATTGTAACATTTTTTGTCAATAAATTTATGTAACTGCATTTTTTATTTGGCAAAAAAAGAAAAATCTATAAAAAGGCCAATTTCGAAGTTAGCAATTTATTGAAATTTTAATTTTCATCATCATCATCATCATCATCATCAGCACTTTCTATTATAGAATCAATATCTAAATTGTCTTAAATAAATTATCATTCACAATATTATCTTCGTCCTGTTCAAAATTATCTTCAGCTTCTTCATTCTCTTGCCAAAGGATGTCATCTTTAGAGCCATCCATGGCTGTTATAAGACAACACTTCTTGAAACCATTTCTTTATAACATCCTCACTGACAGAATCCAAAGATTCCTGAAGCCATTTTATAATAAGTTCCAACTCTGGTTTTTTTTTTCCTGTTGCCACCAGCAGTGAAACTTAGAACACCAGAAAACATCCAGTCATTCCATTTTTTAGGCATCTCTTGTTTAAATGGACAGTTGCAGACAACATCCATTACTTGAAGTTGGCCAGTTATTCCCCCTGGCATAATAACAAGATCAGTCCTCTTCTCCTGAAGTATATTCTTCATGCAATGCATCCTATGGCAATGAAATGCAATTTCAATTTTATTTATAATGTCAAGGTCGATAAAATGTTTTCGTAATTCTTTTTTTGACAAAATTCATAGATGCGTATTATACATAGAGATAGATATATTTCTTAATTTTGGATCATTTTTTGGGGTGCGTATTATTTTCAAGAAATTATGGTATATACCCTTTTCTGTATAACATTTTCTATAAATATGTTCCTATAAAAAAAACTGCAAGAAATTAATATACACTTTTGTGTATAAAATATTCTTAAATTTATGCCCTTGTGTAAAAAAAACTGTTTTCAATAAATGTGTTCCTAAAAAAAAAAACTTTCAATAGAGTAAATTTATTTATTGCACATTCTCTTGAGTGGAGAGCATTTTAAAAATGTTAGAATTGTAAATGTATTCTCAACTAGGTTGTAATATTATACACCGTTTTTGAGAGAAGTGTATTTTTCTGAAGGTCAGATGGGGTAATAAATCAACACAGGGAAAGAAAGAGCTGACAAATACAACTGATTCAAAGCAGATTCAAACCCCAGGACAGAACATTCCTTTCTATGCCTTCCTGAGAAGAATTTAAACTGAAAGAACTTTCAAGATAACTTTCCAGGGAAATACTTCAAAAGGCCTTTGAGATAACTTGTGAAAACACCTTTGTGCTATGTCCTATGATTGAGTATTCTGTTAAAATCAGTGGTGGGTGGGTTTTGTATTTTCAGCTTCATGCAATTGTTTTTGCTTCTTGGAAGTTTTTCCCTTTTTATCTATTTTTAAAAGGTGTAATCTTTTTTGTCTTTGAAATTGTCTTGTTTCTAAAAATTGTAACACTTTTTTTCCTTTAACAATTTCTGTAAAATCCAAATATATATTAAATATAAGAGGAATTTTCTCTTAGACACTAGTTAATGATGGTTTTTGAACTACCTCATTGATCACCAGGTTAGACTTTCTCTTTCTAAGGTAACCATTAGCAACACTGAACATACAGATAAAAATAATAACATTTTAACATTTTCTATAAAAGCCAAATATATATTAAATATAAGATGAATTTTCTCTTAGAATAATTTTAAAGAAATACACAAATCCAGTCGACCAGAACATGAAAATTATCTACTATAAAAAATTAAAACAGCAAACCTTATCATGCACAATAAGAACTCACCTGCAAGATCTAAATTGCAGAGAACCAATATTATTTATGAATTTATATGACCCTTAAGGAACTGTGTTTCTAATCAAATCAAATTCATGAATAATTCTATTGGACATGCCACTATATGCCTATCGAGAAGACTCACGTTACACTTCTCTGATCAAAGCTCATTTAGGATTCATTTAAACACACATGGAAACTTACCAAATCCCATCCGCAACATATTTGTAGAAAATACAAGTATAATAATCTCATCGACATCTAAATAAAAAAGACTAAAAACAATGGAAGCGCTAGAAATAAAAAAGAAAAGGCCAACACTCAATAACATCAACTCTGAGCATGACCAGAATGTGCTGACCTTGTTTGAAAAATTCTTATATAGGAATAAAGTGTCACTGCTGACACTTGAGTTTGAACATAGATCCCCATTTCTAGCCTATCCTCTATCACTATACGGATCTCTATTTCTAGTCTATCATCTATTACTATTTCTACTCTATCCTCTATTACTATACGGACCACTATTCTCTACTCTATTCACTATACTATTTCTCTATTTGAATCACTATATGGATTACTATTTGAGCAAATACTATTAGTGTGAGTGCTATTCGAAGGCATCTGACACCAGCATTGTTCAATGGTGTACTATAGTTGTATCTGCAATTACAAAGTCTCTACTACAATGAGCATTATGAAAATGACAACAAGTATTCGTTGACATCACAAAAAGCCTATACAGTAGACACGAAAAAAAAAATTCCCATCACTCTTGAAACAAAAATCTACACATTCAATTAAAAATAAAAAAATCCTTGATAATGGCTAATAGAATAGCCAAAAATGCTCGGATATATATATATATATATATATATATATATATATATGCTTGAATAAAAAACAGACCACTTTAAGGTTCCATGTAATAAATTATTTCACCACAGCCCTTTTGAAGGGCTCTGGATCATCAGACTTTACTTCCAAAGGTTAAAATGAAAAGAAATTTACACATTTTTGACGGGCCGTATTAAGCATCATTTTTCATTTCAACTTTTGGAAGTAAAGTCTGATGATCCACAGTCCTTTAAAAGGGCTGTGGTGAAATAATTTATTACATGGAACCTTAAAGTGGTCTGTTTTTTATTCAAACATATTTGCTCTGAATTTACATTGAGCTCTCCGGATTTTATCCTCCTTAGGTCTACCTATACGGATTACCTAGTTTTGCATAAACTAACTATATATATATATATATATATATATATATATATATATATATATATATATATATATATAAACATTAGGGTAATTTTTACACACTTTATATCCAGAAAAGAAAACATTTATATGAACACAAGAAAAATTAAACAAAAAGCTTAATCACAGTACCTTGTCAGTCGTCTTTAATGAAACTTATATATGTGTCCCAACATATACACACACATAGCATTTAATAAATGAAAGTAATGACATTTAAAATCCATTTAAAATTGTCAGCATGTGGTAGAACTAATAGATCTAAAATGTCACCCTGATAGTAACAAATCAAACAAGTCATACCCAGGATTCGTGCTGTCTTTTATGTAACTCAAAAGAAAATATTGATGTAATCAAGATGTTGACATTCCACACAACTTCAAACAAAAGGTTAGGAAGGAAACTCCCATCCATACTGGAAAGGTTAATAACATTCACTGGACTTGAGAAACCTGTTTTCCTGAAAAAATTTTTTAAGAGAAAGATTTTAAAAATTTCAACTGACTATAGTACTGGCTGCTCGGTCAATGAATGCCGAATATTTCCTTATAAGGAAACAACTAATATTACCATTACTGTGATGGACACATGCTTGTAATTGACACAAATATGATAACTAAAACCAGAAACTCCTTGTCATTACTTGGCAGACGTCTTCAGAAGGCTACTTAAGTAATCATGACAACGTGAATTGCCACTTGTTAAATATTAAGGAAAAATATTTTGTAAGGTGTTCAGATACACCACAGTATTAATGGAGAGCTAAGGATATTTTGTTAAATTATCATATTAATATGTATTAATTCTGGAGAATCAGTTTATCACATAATTAAGGACAATAGAAAATTGATCCCCTATTTAAGTCCAGTAGAATCTTATATTTATTAACAAGAATCCTTGAAAAAAAATAATGACCTAATGAAGATGTTGATGTTCCACACAACTTCAAACAAACGGTTAGGAAGGAAACTCCTATCAATACTGGAAAGAGCAATAACTCACTAAAACTGAGGAAATTATTTTCCTGAAATTCTTTTAAGAGAAAGATTTTTATAAATTTCAACAGCCAGTGCTACTGAATGTTTCCTTACCACTACCATTAGAAATGAGTAGAACAGATACTACACTTTGATCCCAGCTTGATGGACAGGGAAGAAGAAAAAGGTGAAGAAAAGCATAACTTGAGTAGCAATGAATGCCAAATGTTTCCTTATAAGGAAACGGTTAATATTACCATTAACATTACAAATGAGTAGAACAGATACTATACTTTGATCCCAGCTTGATGGACAGGGAAGAAGAAGAAAAAGGTGAAGAAAAGCATAACTTGAGTAGCAATGAATGCCAAATGTTTCCTTATTTACCATTGTTTTCACCTTTTTTTTTTAAAAAAGTAAACAATAATGGCAGATTTTTTTTTTTTCTGCTTGTGTAAATAATTTTTCATCTTTTATCCTCACCAGGTGGTGGAGTTGCTCGTTTACGCATCTATGGGCATCCGATTGCAGACTCATCTTTAATATCCAATGATTCTGTAAGTTATTGATTTTATTTTTTAAGAATTACTTTGGAATTGTTTAATCAAATTAAAATTCAATTGATGCCCCAGAAATTTGAAATAAAATTATATCAGGAAATCATAGATTTAATCTGGAGTTTCCAGCATTTTTGACAAAATCTTTTATTTATTGTATATACTTAAGTAAAGTGTAAGTTTTTTTTTTATTTTATTTATTTATGCAAAGAATAGAGGGTTGCACTTAAACACAGGTGCTTTTTTTTTTTTTTTTTTTTTTTTTGAAAATCATCCATTTCTGGTGACCTGTTGCACTATACAGGTAACTTTTTTCTATGGGGTTTAAAATTAATGCCATAAAATTTGGGGGTTTCATGATGCATGAAGCCCACTTCTACACCATTATATACAGTATATAAATTCATAGCATCATTATTCAGTTATTGAAATATTTCTCCTTGCTTTCTTTGACCTTTAGACAGTTATGTGCCATGTGCAATACATGCGTAGGCGATCATGTTTTTTTTGCTACATAACTGACAGGGCAGATTTTTTTTCCTGCAGTTGGTTGCCATTTCTTTCTGTGGTAGACCAGTTATCATCCAAGGCTGTTCTGCTATTTATCTATAGCTGGGGGAGGGAAGAAGAGGATTCATACCATTCCCAAGGGTATTAGCATGTAAGTGAATGTAATGGATTTGACTGGAATTCAAACTCAGCTCTCCAATTCCTCAATCCAAGCCGCTGTCCATTACTCCACTGTACCTCCTCGTATGACCTTCAGTCAGTTAAATACCATATGTAATACACGCTTAGGCAATCATGTCTCTTTTGATTCATGACTGATCAGGCAGAAGATATTCCCACAGTAGGTTGCCATTTCTTTGTGTGATAGACTGGTTGCCAACTAAGGCTATAGGCCTAGTCTGTCATGCTATTCAACCCATAGCTAGGGGGAGAAGAAATGGATTCATACCTTTTAACTATGTAAATTGTCAGTGTTGGATAATCAGGTGGAGAGATAAAAAAAAAGAATACAGATGATTTTGATTAGATTGAGAGAAAAAAAAATTATTTCAAAAGATTTTGAAACTACCTACATCTCTCATTTCGTGTGCATGTGTAGACGTGGCAATGTCATCAAAGCCCAGTTCAATGAAATCCCAACGGATGAAACCTGTTACAAAAAAACCTTTCCAGTTTGTCATATTTTTTAAAACTCTACATGAATTGACACTACAAGATAATCTTATGATATTGATCTGAAAACTAGGGTCATGTTCTTAAATTGCCTTGTCAGGTCTAGACTCTCATGCAGATGACATCGTTTTCTTAGATCAAGGATTAAATATGGCCTCAAGCAAATGAACCCTTTTGGTCTTGAACAAGACAATCCCAAATCACTATTTACATTATTCGGACTGTCGTCCTCATCTTTGTTGCCATATTTATCATGTTTTCGACCATTCAGATAGTTGGAATGTCGAACTGAACCCTTTATTTCGCTCACTGGGGTAGACTGTTCTAGTTCCACATGCCATGTCTAATGGATGTCACTTATCAGTTATCTGCTATTAATTCTCCCTAACCAGGTATTGAACTCACCACTCTTTGGGTCCTGTCATGCCTTTATCCACTGTGCCATGTGTCCTTGAGGACATCTGTATTTGAATTTCTGGGACTTATAAACCTAATATCTTCAGCAACTATTTTTACCATTGCTCATATTGCGATTTTTGCTGTTATCATTGCAGGTTTTTTTTTTTTTTTTTTTGAAGAAGAAGGCCTGGAGTGTACAACAGCTGAAATGTTGTGATAAATATGGCCACAAAGATGAGGATGACAGTCCAAATAATGTAAATAGTGTACATAATACCTCATCTCAGAAATATAGACAAATCCTAAATCAGATCATATACACTAGCCTCTATCACATTGAAATACCGGTCCTCGTACAATCACTGAAGTTAAGCAACTTTGATCTTGGTTAGTACTTAGATGGGTGTACTATAGTTGTATCTGCAATTACAAAGTCTCTACTACAAGGAGCATTATGAAAATGACAACAAGTATTTGTTGATATCAGAAAAAGCCTATACAGTAGACACAAAAAATAATAAAAATTCCCATCACTCTTGAAACATAAAAATCTGCACATTCAATTAAAAAAAACCCCCAAAAAAAACCATCCTTGATAATGGCTAATAGAATAGCCAGAAGCACTCGGAGATATATATATATATATATATAGTACCTGGTATTATGCTTGCAAATACCAGGTACTGTAAGCTTGGATGTGTGGGTGAAGTAATGGATAACAGCTCGGAATTAGAAATTCTAGAGCCGTGTTCCAATTCCAGTTGAGTTCTTTATATTCACTTACACATAAATACTCTCATTGAAGGCATGAATCCACCACTTCTTCCCTCAGCTATTAGTTAATTAATAGGACTTTTGTCAACAAATCATTATTATCTCCAAAAAAATTCTTACATCTATAAATATTTTCTGGCTTTAAATATCCTGCAATTAGTTGATAAGCCATAGAAAATGGATCAATTGATCAATGAAATACTGATTAGCTATACAAGCATGTTCTTTTAGATTTACTTACATTCTCAGAAATATGTCTAAAAACTACTATGGCCACAAAGTGAGGGAACAGTTTATATATTGATTGTGATATAGAATTGAGCCCCTATTTTATACCCACATTATAATTTCTTGTCTATCAAATTCTGAGTACATATGAATCCAACTCTTCTCCCCCCCCAGCTATGGGTTAATTAGTAAGACTTATATCACTAACTAATTATTATCTCCAAAAAAAAAAAAAATCCTATAATCTAAAAATATTTTCTGGCTTTATATAACCTGCAAAGGGTTGATAAGCCGTAAAAAAATAAACCAATAAATCAATGTATATCATGATAAATTTTTTTGATGTCTTTTTACTCCAACAGCAAATTGGATAGGGGGTTAGCTGTATTTTGAAGATGGTGCTGAAGTCAGTGAAAATAATAATTGTCTTGGAGCAGCTGACAATATGTTTTGAAAATAATGATGTTAAAAATAGAAAAGAAAGCAACTCTACCTCATGGCAAAGAAACCATTTTGAATCAGAATTTTTTTTTTCTTTTTCTTGTAAAGTTAACAGATTTGTTGTTACTGCAGAATGGTGGAATCTGTGTTTGTTCCAGTTGTCCTGAGATGATCTGCCTCGCATCAAATATTAATTATGACAATCAACAAAGGGTAATTAGCAACACCTGGATGAGACCTGAGGTAAGTCTGGACATTCAGAAATTCAGCATGGATTCATTTAGAAGAGGTTTAAGGATATTTACTAAGCTTAGGACAAATGGTGAGATAGGAAGATTATATGACATCAAGTTCGTGGGTTAGGAATATTTTATGGAACCAAGTGCATGAAGTTAGAAAGACTTTACGGCACCGAGTGTGCAGGCTAGAAAGAGTATATGGCATCAAATGTGCGGGCCAGAAAGACTGTACGGCACCGAGTGTTTGGCTAGAAAGAAAAGACCGAGTGTCAGGGCACAGAGTGTGCAGGCTAGAAAGACTGTACGGCACCGAGTGTGCGGGCTAGAAAGACTGTACGGCACCGAGTGTGCGGGCTAGAAAGACTGTACGGCACCGAGTGTGCGGGCTAGAAAGACTGTACGGAACCAAGTGCACAAAGTTAGAAAGACTGTACTGCACCGAGTGTGCAGACTAGAAAGACTATATGGCACCTAGTGTTTGCCATTTAGAAAGACTTTACAGCATTGAGTGTGCAGACTCAAAAGACTATACGGCGCCGAGTGTGCAGGCTAGAAATAATCACCAAAGACCAGATGTTATATAATAAATATATAACAAAGGCTGATTACATTTAAGCCTAACAACCACTCCTCCTGCTTCCAGAGACATGGCTGAAAGAACTTTATATAAATAGATTCCAACACCTTAAAATGAAATTCTGAATTAGCCTTTCTCACCAGGCACATTGATGGTTGTTCAATAAATGTTCAGTTGCGGCCAAATCAGTTAACCGTTACCATGCTGGAGGTGAAAATTGTTGCTGTAGAATTCTCTCCCTTTGCTGCTCTAGGTGCATTCTGTCACCTTGAGACGGTTGCTATAAATAAACACTTGTCAACTGTTATGTCCAGTATTTTAAGCATGAAATCACCTGCTAGTGCTTTGGAACAAGGTTAAGCTTCTGTTTTTCTAACGCCATTTTGAATTCTTCTAGAATCTACAGAAGGTATAACACTGATTAAACCCACATTAATTTTTTCATGATTTTTTTGTAAACAAAATTGGCCACATCAATATCCAACAAAGCCTTTATTGAGGAGTTTAAATAATAACTTTATTCATCAACGAGAAAAATAAATATGAGTCATGTGAAAGAAAGGGCAAACAAATGCTAGTGTCTTCTTGTATGTAAAGACTAGGGAACCTGTCGATCCTGGTGATTGAGCAAGCCATGGTCCAGATGCAAAAAGGACATGGTAATGCAACACATGACTTTGGCCCTTACCTGGGCTAGACGGGTGGTCGGAGAGGCCCGATCCGATCAATCGGCTAGTCACGTCAAGCACTAATACTTACCCGCATTAAAACCCATCTATCTAAAACACTTAAGTTATACAAAACCGGTCTGGTCTTTTACCACAAACAAGAGATAGATTATAAGTAAGTATTAGAAGGCGGTGGCAAGGGTCAATCTACTAGTAAGAAAAAGCAGTTACAGATAGGGTTTTTAACGGACATTTTCATAAAAAACGGGTCGTGAAAACAAAGTTAAACCCACAATGCTAGCAGCCACTTACTAGTGTGAGTATACCTTTCCTTGTATCCCTGGGATAATAGGGCGAATGGGTTTCCCCCCTAACATCTCCCACAGATGGGCTCCGATGAGGGTGGGGAGCAAGGAAGGTGAAATAAAAAAAACAAAAAAACAATGGCTATAAATAAGAATAAAAGACCCCATATAGAAGACAGTTCGGAGAGCTTATACTCAGAAACCGAGTCTGACAATGATCTTGACCAAAATCATTTTCCTAGATTTATTGTCTTGGAATCAATAGAGGATACACCTATCACCAAACTGTCTCCATTCATTGTGGAAAAAACAATGAAATCGCTAATAAAAATGTCTTCAATAAAAAAAAAAAAACTAAAGAACAAAACCATTTTGGTAGAAGTTTCAAATAAAACTTCAGCAAATACCTTACTGAATCAAAACAATTTTGCCAAGCTTAAAATAAAGGCCTACCCCCACACTTCCTTGAACTCCTCAAAGGGTGTGGTAAGAAGCCCAGACCTCTCACTCTGTACTCTGGACGAAATAAAAAATAACTTAAAAAAACAAGGAGTCATAGAATATCAATAAAAAAAAAAACAACCAAATAATTCCTACAAATACATATATCCTAATTTTTAATACTCCAAAACCTCCAGCAGAAATAAGAATTGGATATATAATAGAAAAAGTGGAAAAATATATACCAAATCCTCTGAGATGCCACAACTGCCAAAAGTTTGGGCACCATAAGGATAGATGCACCAGACCATCAATATGTAAAGTTTGTGGAGAAATCGGGGATCACATTGACTGTAAACTCCCAGTTAAATGTGCCAACTGCAAACAAAATCATGCAGCAGACTCAAAAGAATGTGAAGTCTGGAATAAAGAAAAAAAAATCCTCGATTAAACATACAAGAAATATATCTTACCCAGAGGCAAGAAGAATAGTTGAGAGTTCTCTGAACGTATCAACATATGCAAATATAGTCAGAAGAACAGACGATTCGATTAAAATTCAAGAAACATCACAAAATAATCTGTCCGATCTGGTAGAAGAATTAAGATCACTTCTGGAGATATTGAAGAAAAATTTAAACTGTTTAACTAGAACCGATACCAAGTCAGATCTAAAGGAAAATCCTCAATATCAGATTGTCGAAAGCAAAGAGGTTACAAGAAAATTACAATACAAGCAACAGCAAATGCCAAATCTCCCAAACACCTCAAACGAATTTAATAACTCCTCACCTCCAAAAATGAAATCTCCGTTAAAAAATCAACACAGGAAAAAGAAAACAGAAATTGTTTTAATTGAAAATGAAAATAATTTTGAACTGATGGAAACTGATAGCCAAGAAAGACATTCAAGAGAGAGAAGCTTAAAAAGTCCCGACAAAAACAAGCAAAAAACAATCAGCCCATCTCAAACACGGGAACGGCCGTTATCTAAACAAAGAGCAAATGAATCAACGGGAAAAACAAAAGCAACATCTCTAACTAAACAAACAGAACCGAAAGAAAGCCAAGGGTTAAAAACACAACAAAAAACAAAATACAAATAAGACAGAATGACTCAAAAAATTACACAATGGAACTGTCGTGGCTTAAAGCCAAATATAAATGAGTTACTTCTGCTTATAACGAATCATCTCCCCACCATCATCTGCTTACAGGAAACCTTCCTAAAAGCCGATGATAAAATTAAAATAAAAAACTATACACAATATAATTACATTCATAACCCCAATCAAAGGGCATCGTATCGATACTAATTAGAAACGATATCCCTCAAAGTAAAATACAATTGAAGACCCATATCCAAGCTGTTGCTACAAAGGCCACTCTACACAGAACCATCAACATCTGCTCCATTTATATCCCACCACATGATCCCATAAACGAAACTGATTTAAACAACCTAATAGATCAACTACCAAGACCATATTTATTACTAGGTGACTTTAATAGTCACAACATTATATGGGGATCTAAATACTCTGATAAAAAAAGGCAAAAATCTTGAAAACATCATTAACAACAATGACTTATGCCTACTAAATAAGAAATCTAACACATACCTACACCCTGCGTCAGGCACTTATTCAGTGCTTGACCTTTCACTTTGTGAATCGTCTACACTTATGGACTTCGATTGGAATGTTCTAGATGATTCATGGGGTAGTGACCATTTCCCAATTACGTTGACATATTCAAAAGAAATTGAAAACCATCCTCATCGATGGAAGCTAAATAAAGCAAATTGGAGAGAATATAAAAAAAAATGTCAACAAAAACTTTCAGACAAAGAAGTCTCCAGCAAATCCATCGAATACTTCACAGAAACTTTAATAGACATTGCGAGAGCATGCATACCAAAAAGCAATGGATCTAACAAACAACAAAGACCATGGTTCAATGATGAATGTAAAAAGGCAATAAGACTAAGAAAAGCAGCACTACGGAAATTTAACTCTCAACCTACAACTCATAATTTAAATCTTTTCAAACAAAAAAGAGCAGTAGCACGTAGAGTTATCAAGGAAGCCAAAAGGAAATCCTGGAAAGATTATGTAAACAAAATAAACTATAATACAAAACCAAAAAAGTTTGGAACATGGTAAGGAAAATCTCTGGAAAGAATTCATCTTCTTCTCTTAACCATCTCACGTTAGATAACAAAAAAATAACAGAAACAAAAGATATAACAAACATACTTGCAGAAACTTTCGAAAATAATTCCTCTAACAAAAACTATAGACAAATCTTCCAAAAAATTAAGCAGGATACAGAAAAAAAGAAGAATAAACTAAATTTTAATTCAAATAACAAAGAAGAATACAATCTTTCTTTTACGAAGGACGAACTTATAAATGCTATAAGTGAAGCACATAATACAGCTACTGGTCCTGATGAAATTCATTACGAATTTTTAAAACAACTTCCCCCCCCCCAAATCCATTAAATATTTGTTAAACATCTTTAATGAAATATGGTTCAAGGGAAAACTACCTAATAGCTGGAAACAGGCTATTGTGATTCCCATACCAAAACCAGAAAAAGACAAAACAGATCCAAAAAACTTTAGACCCATAACATTAACAAGCTGCTTAGGCAAAACATTTGAAAGAATAATAAATAGAAGACTAAATTGGTATCTGGAAACCAATAATTTAATTACCAACTTACAGAGTGGCTTTCGAAATAAAAGAGGAACAATAGATAACATAGTCCGCTTAGAAACCTTTGTCGGAGAGGCTTTCATCAATAAAGAACATGTAATAGCCATTTTCTTTGACTTAGAAAAGGCCTACGAAACTACATGGAGACAAGGAATAATGAGAGACTTATACAACCTTGGCCTAAAAAGCAGATTACCCTTGTTGATAAAAGACTTTTTATCTGACAGAAGCTTCAAAGTAAGAATAGGATCGACTCTCTCAGACTCAAAAATTCAAGGAGGAGTCCCACA